TCAGTACTTGTCCGTCTTTTCGATAATTTTAAGAACTTAAATGCCCGTTTTTGTATTTGCGTTCCTCAGCAATCTAGTGCGAATGCGATTTGGCAGGTCGGCTTTACTTTATTTAGCTATCTTTAAATATAAAAACTATTAAACTCAAATGATAAGGTCCCAAAACAATTTTCCATTGTAAATGGCATGTGGATAAATGATCTTAAATTATACTACCTCCAGTTCTTAATATTAGAACTGGTTGACTAATTTGAGTAGATTAAAAAAAAATAGTTAACTCAGTTATTTATAATAACTAGGTGTTGTCTTTTCTCAAATATCATGGCTAATCAAGTATATTAGCTAGAACTACTATTATTACAAGAACTATCTTTAAAAAAAAAAGATAAATATAAGAAATAAAGTGGATTGGGATTCTACATTTAAGATCAAAATAAAAATCAAATGAGATCTCATCTTATAGACCGGAGTAAGTATTAACAAAGATGTGAAAATAAATGGAGTATTCTGGTCTCTGGGTTAGATGCGAAGCCCTCTATTATATTTTCAATGTTTCGTTCTTTGAGTGATGCCAAAGTCTTGTTTGGTAGGAAAATGTACTCACTCTCTAACTATTATTATATTGTTATTATTAGCAAATAGTGTTATTTTTTATTACAAAAGAAAAATATATTTTATGATGATATCATAGGTAACTGTTGTGTTCAAGTACTTTAAAATAATTATGATTTTTATGATTTTTTTGAAGCAGTGTTATCAATATTCTACCTCCAGTCCTTAATATAAAACCATGTTTGACTTTTATTTTGGTCCTAAATATAAGACCCCAATCCACTTTATCTCTCATATTTATACATTTTTTTCCAAAGCAGCCCTTCTAACAATGATAGTTCTAATCAATACATTTGATTAGTAAGGATATTTTAGGAAAGACAACACCTATTTAGGACAAATAACTAACTCAACTTACTTTCTTAATCTCCTAAAATTAGTCAATTGGCTCTTATAATTAGGACCGGAGGTAGTAGTTTATAAATTGTAAAAAATCTAGCGTGCCAATATATAATGTCAAAGAGGGGGTGAAGGGTAAAGGAATGTTGTTGCTTGTTTGGTGGGCTGGGAATTTCACTCATCCCTCACTCCCGCCCCTCCAAACAGTGTCCTTTTTTCCTTCTTTTTATTTACTAATTACTAATGATGAAAACCATATGTGTGTGTGTGCATGTATGTTTGCATATATATGAGACTTCAAGGCATAAGATTAATGCTGAGGGCCTACTAGTACTGGTTGAAACTTCATGTTTTATTTTTAGATGCTCTTAAATTAGATTTTATGTTAGATTCTGTGCCCCCCCGTTTGATCCTGACTAGGATTAGTTGGTGATTTTATATGTATTATTTTGTCGTTTTGTTAAATAAATTGTTTTGTTCTAAATTATTTATCACCATTATTATTAAATGCACTCCCAGAGCGGATTTACTTGTTATATGTGTTATTTTCTCAAGGTTGAGAAAAAAAGAGAACAATCAGCGGTCTGGAACAGTATTGTGAGAGTGTGGGACTCCTTTTGCAAGGGTGTGGGAAGTAAGCTAAGTAACAGAGTGTCGACAAGTGCTTGGGGAGAACGGTGGTGCCCTTTAAACCTGCCCCTCATCCAATATGTTGAGAGGAACATGCACATGATCAATCCCGACGACAATGTGAAGAGTTTTGTAACAACAAGTGGTGACTGGGATATCATAAAGTGAAGAAACTTCCCGCCAATTTGGGTTGTGGAGAAAATTAAACTGGTTAAGCCTCCAAATGGGGTGGAACATGACTGGTTCTATTGGAGGAGCTCCCCAGATGGGAATTTCAGTGTAAAATCAGCCTATAAAATGATGTTCGACAAGCAACAGAATCATAATGAAACACACTGGCACCGTATCTGGCGTTGGCGAATCTCTGAAAGAGCAAAAGTCTTCATATGGCAAGTTTTCCATGAGCGAATACCTACCAATGCTCTTAGATACAAGAGAGGAGTAAGCGAGAATCCTTACTGCCTGTTTGAGTGTCAACGAGAGGAGTCTATTATTCATACACTTCGTGACTGTGAGGAAGCTAAGAGAGTGTGGCTTTATTTTATTGAACCAATGTTTGTCTCTGTGTTTTTTCCAACTGATTTATAAGGGTGGCTTAGATGGAATAGTAAACATAATCCGAGTACAAGAATATTTGCTCGTTGGTAGTGGCTCAAAATCTTTGGCAGCATCTGTTGGCTCACCTGGAACAACAAATGTAGGAAGGCCTTGGAAGGAACGCACGATCAAGCAAGTGAAGTAGTCAACAAAGGCATCCACTACTTTATGGAGGAGATGGCAAACAACAGGTATAGACATAAAATATACCAAGTGCTTGAGAGGGAGGACTGCAAGTGGACGAGACCGAAGGAGGGATATATCCGAATTGATGTTGATGGTTCGGTAGACAGCACGAGAAATGCAGCTTGCGGTGGAGTCATTAGGAAGAATCAGGGCAGTTGGGTGTGTGGATTCCAACAGAACCTAGGCTTTCTTCCATCCACAACTGCGGAACTGCAAGCCTTTCGCATAGGTCTTCAAGTTGCCAAACAACTGAGATTTAAGAAAGTCCAACTTTTCACAGACTCAGTCCAAGCCTTTCAACTCTTGATGAATGGTAGTGGAAACCTCCACCCGGCACGTGATGTGATCGACGAAGCGAGGTCGCTGATCTTCTCAAATTGGGATCTTGAGATATCCTTCTCACATAGAGAAGCGTTAAAATGCGCTGAGCTCATTGCCAAGAAGGCCCACCAGTCAAACTTTTCAACCACAATGCTTCAAGACCCTCCTCCTGATTGTCTTGAACTCTTAGCCAATGATCTTCTTTAGTTTTAGCGTTTTTGGCTTTTGGGTTTGTTTTTTATTCGGTTTTTAGGTTTCGTCCTTTGTTTGTAAGTCAAGTTCACTTGCCTTTTGATTCAAAAAAAAAAAAAGAATAGGTATTAGCTTTGGTCCTTAATATAAAAGCTAGTTTAACATTCAATTTGACTTTAAATATAAGACACTAATCCACTTTGTCTGTCATATTTATCTATTTTTTTAAAATAATTCTTATAGTAGTTGTATATATTAAAGGTTCTATTAAATTGTAATTCTAACTAATACATATTATTAGCAAAAATATTCTAAGAAAGACAGGACCTAATAATTAATTATAAATAACTAACTTAACAAAACTTTTTAATTTATTCAAATTAATTAACTAATTTTTATATTAAGTAGCGGATATAGTACTCGTCATCTTCCTCCATATCATGCTTTATTTCCAAGCTCGTTTGTTTGTCCTAAGACAAAAACCCATCTTTCACACGGTGATTGGAGGGACAACGACAAGGAGTTTCACTTAGAAAAGGAGAGCATTAGCATATAAGAGAGCCTTTTTCACTCTATTCATTTTATTATTTGGATATGTCGATCAGTGGGATGTTTTACCTGTCCTTCTGATAATGTTCTTTCTCCACATGTGCTTCATCTTCCTTATTTTTTATTCTTTTTTCATATTATCAGATTTATTTGCCAATATTTCATTCGAAGACACTTTATACTCTCGCAAGAATTAGATGGGAGGCGAAAGAGCTTTTTTTTTAAAAAAAAATTTGTATTTTTTGAAATTAAATTAAGACATTGATTTTCCCCCCATTATTTACATGTATGCCTAATTCTTATAATTATGAACACTACTCCTAACTTAGTTATAAATTTAAAATTTAATTATTTTTATTTTTAAGTAAATACTAGATAACAAGCGTCCTTGTTTACATGGATTAAAATGAGTCCTTAGTCAAACCAAAATTTGAAGTTCGAGCCCATTTATTTCTATTAAAACAATCCAAAACCACCGAACAATACTTATATTAATGGAAGGAAAGAGTGCATTTGGAAAACCATGTAACAAAGTCAGACAAGATTTGAAAAATGACGAAAACATCAAATGGCCATAGACATAAAACATACGAGCCCTCAAAAAAAAAAAGAGAAAACAAAGAAAATTCCTGCAAATTATTAGACACATACAAAAATAGACACTAAAATTCTAAAAATTTAGTCGGAATTTTTTTTTGATGGATAATGCGGGGCCAAAGCCCGATTATATCATCATATCACGTGGGAATGAAACACCCACAGAATCAATGTACAAGAACTTACAAATTCTTGAGGGAGGTTGATCAAAAATAACAGTTGCCTCCTCAACCTCAAAACCAATTAGTTAAGCATTTTTAATATTCATTCTTCAATTCAAAGTCAAAAATCATAAAATCACCTACGCATGTATGCTGCATGATTGGGCATCAGGTGGTCCTATGTGACACACAATCATAAAACAAGTAATAACGTTTATAACTTAGAATCAGCATATCAAATATGAATGTTAATGATTAATGAGAAAATAGAATTACTGAATAGTGAAGTTCTCATAGCCAATACCGGTCACGTACAATGGGAAACATATGAAGTTTCATTTCGCAAGTTTGTTATATTGCATCTGGTTCTAAATATAAAAGCTAGACAATGTGTTTAACTTGATTTTATATTTAAGATCTCAATTGATTTTGTTTCCTAAATTTATAATTCTTTTCCTAAATATCCTTACTGATTACACATTCTGATATGCCACCTTACTGATTCCTTGCGATTTGTTTGAAATATTATTTTCCACCATGCTGTCATCTCAAAAAGAAAAACTAAACATGTACGGATATGTACCGGGCAAGTGGATAAATTTGCACCGTGGAGGGGAATTATTATTAATATCGAAATGATACACAGGATAAACATTACATAACACATAACACACCAACAAAAAGCCATATATATATATGTGTGTGTTACTCCCACAGGGCCTGTTTTCAAGTAACAAGTTATGATTATATTATATAAACCTAAGAAGTAATATTAAGATCATGGTAATGGAGAATGGTGACACAGAAGAGTGGGCCTCAAACTAAAGGAGCGGGGGCGCGGGCGCATAGGTTGACGGTGTCATAGAGGTGACGGGGCCACTCGTCCAGAGCCAGCCACTGGTTCACCGGGAACGCTACTTTCCTAGAAAGGCCGCCACTGACGGTGATGTCGACGAAATCTAAGTACCACCCTGGCTTGTTCCCTTCGCCGTTGGATGTGACGGTGATGTCACAAACACTGAGACAAGTGCCGGTGCCGCTGAAGACGTCCAGGTTGCCCCGCTCGAAGTAGTCGTGACCCGGTGCCATTATGCCCCAACTTTGGAGGTTGTTGACCATAAAACTATCGCCGGAAGAGGACGTTAACTTGAGGCCGATGACGGAGTCCGTTCCCGCATCTTTGCGATCTCCTGTCTTAACTCTCACAATGTACTGGCACTGCTGCTGCATATATACACATGCATATGCACAGCTAAGTAGAATGAATAAAAGCTTTGAAACTAATAATAACGGAACACAAGTGAGAGCAATTACTTACAGATCTAGCCATTGCAGCGAAGCCTACGATTGAAGCCAGAAAAACAAGACAAGACAATCCAATAACTCTGAGAGCCATTTTATTAATTTGTGACGCTACGTACTGACCGATCGATGAGGATGAGAAACGCCGGAATAACCTCTCTATGGTTTTATATAAACATAGGGCGACATATACATATGTGGTGATAACTTAGTTTCACTTTTAGATCCAATTCATTTTAGTATTATGTGGACAAGTTGATAACGGGGGATGTCACCAACCTTTCGTTCTCATATAACGTGGTCTGAACACATGTCCTGCATGCATGCAGCCCCATTTTGAACCGTAACCAAGAGAATTAATTAAACGCGACCGCTCATGATATTTTATATATGGAAACAATATCACCTCAATGGCAGGATAAGCATGGCAGGAAACGTCTAGCTCAAGCAAAGTGACACACTTGGAAACAAGTGCATGCATATAGTTCCCAAATTATTATACAAGTGATGTCCATGCGGTCAAGCCATTGCATAATGCATAATTCAGCAGTTTTTTTTTTTTTCCAGTGTTAGTTCTGAGTGCATACCATGAATCTCCTTCACTATGTGTAACTTTCTAGTCTCTACTGTTCATTCCGGAGGGGAAAACATGGGCCGGAGTCCGACACAAAATGGAAACCCAGCAACAAAGCCTAGTTCACCCTCCAACAATGTTGAAACCTGTAGATTCAAGCCAATATCAGCTGGGCACTCCCTTAATATGCCGAGAGTAGAGATGGAGATTCTCAATGATCCACCAATAGAGTGAAGAAATCTCTTGATCTTTGATCTGACCTAATACTATTTTCTTACACAGATCTGTCATGGCCATATATTAAATAAAATAATAATAATAATAAGAGTAGAGATGTAGGGAGAGAGGCTCAACATTATTCCCTTTATACTTCCTATGTAAAATTAACCAAATTTTCAAGATTCATGGACATAAGGATGATGCATGCTTCTGACCTACAGGTTTTGATTAACATGTTCTTTGGAGCGATCGCAATTCTTGATTAAATAATACTACAAGGATTATCATACGCAATAAACGTCGAAATTAAAATACTCCTATAAATTAAAACATTAACAGATCAGTTCATTATAAATATGGCAAGTATAAATTACTCAACTTTAAGACTTGTTTAAGATTACTTAAATTCTCGGAAGAGAATGAAGTAGCAAGATAGCGGTGGTTAAATAAATTAGGCTCAAATAAGATGGAAAAAAGAGGAAATTATAGTTTGTTCACATAAGGAAGTTTTAGTTCGTGAGATGTTACAGTTGAGGATGCATTTGTACACTATTTGGCTAAGGATTCTAGTTTATTATTTAATAATTTTTATAATACATGCATGTGAGGTTACGAAAAGGTCATAATTAGGTAAAAAGAAAGAGAAGTAATGACCAAATCAAATGATATAGTGATATCTAATAAAAATGATAGAAAATTACACCAGTAATAATGAATAATGCAAAGACATAATGACTCGTCGCTGTTATATTCTGGTAATTATTTCAAATAGAACACCAGTGGCTCAAACAAGTTGAAGGGTTGAAGGCCCAATATAAATATGATCAAATAATATAAAGTGCAGATTGAACCCAGACATCTAACTGACTTTAACTAACAAGAAAAGGGCGCTGGGATGGAAAAAGCAATATCCGTCTGAGGGACTCATCAAAATGTGTTGCTTAAAAAAAAAAAAAATGTGTTGCCACTTCAATTCCTTAATTTTTATCCTATGGCTATTTTTCTTTTACGTACCATAGATACCATAAATATCGTTGAGTTGAAATGTGGTTTACTAGCTTTGAACTCTGAAGTCCTTAATATAAGACCTAATTATTGAGTTGATTTTAGTTCTAAATATAAGACCTATTTCTCATATTTATCAGTTTTTCCTAAATTACCTTTATGGATACTCCCTCAACCATAATCAAGTAGAAGAGGGAAATAAAATATTAAAGAAGATGATTATGGTGTTTGAGAAAAATATATCATATTTTTTATAATTAACTAACTTACCTGACTTTCTTAATCTAATCAAATAGTTAAATAGGTCTTATAATAAAGACCAGAAGAGTATAATTTATGTGTTTGTTTAGTAATAAATTCAAAAGTTATAATTGAATTTATTAAATTTAATCGCGTGTCACTTTTCACATATAAAACATTAATATGCATGTCTTTGCGTACTTTAATATTAAAAACTTGACACACATAAATGTAAATGATTTTAATCATGTTGGAATATATGATTAACAACAACAACAAAAGGAAGTTTTTGCTCTCAAGTCTCAACCACGTACAAATAAACAAACACAAAAGCACACCCTATATGATGATCTGCCCATATATAAACTAGCGGAGCCAACGTGGAGACCAAGTAATACAAAACATGCTCACATATCACATATGACCACAAAATAAACATGCGGAAAGTATACTACAACGTTAGGCTCATCCTAATCACAACTCCGAAATTTGAAGGAAATTGATCAGACACGATTCTGTTTCCTGCAACATTAATCCAAAAATGAAATGCAGCAATTATCAAATATAAGCTAAATACAATAAGTAAATCAAATTGGTACATGTGCAAATCAAATCGAACCAAGAGTGTTGTATTTAGATGACGTTGTACTCACCATAAAAGAAAATAGCTTTTGATGGAATTTAGCTCCCGGATGACTTCAATTGCACTCGTTCTTTCATGAGGTGATTCCATTAAACATGTAAGTCCAATCTCAAATAAAGAACGCAAGCATTTGTCAATATTAGGACGGATTTGTATCATGTTCTTTGATGAGTCTCTTGATGCTAACACTATATGTTCTAGCTCTCGTGGAAGAATAGTCGGGCTCACAATCTCCAAAAGCTTGTTTGGGAATAAAATTTTCACATATGTTTGAAGATTGTAGCCATCTTTAAACATAGCTTCAGTGGGTCTTACCACTACCAGAAAAAAAGTTTTTCACAGCGGTTAATAGTGGCTTTTCACGGCAGTTTTGAAGGCAAAGTTGATAAAGGCGACGTTGAAAGGTAAAGAAAACACAGCGGTTCTAAACCGCCGTGGAAAATATTTTTAACGGCGGTTATAAATATAACCGCCGTTAAAATTTTTTTTTAAATTCTGCTTGATTTTCATTTTTACCACCCTGCAGTTTACAGTTCCAAATAAATGTAGACAGTGTAGAATACGCAGAACAAGATCAATTAGCTAGTTAATATATATACAGCATTGAAATTTCTTTTACACAATGCGAAAATAGGGAAACCGGCCAATAGAACTAAGGGGTTAATTAAGACCAAGGAACACGTATTGGCTAGGACCAACAATTCTGAAATAGAAGTAACTACTTCTCTGTACAATAGAAATCATGAACATGTACATATAAGAGGGAACCGAGAGAAAACATCTAACAATGAATTTTTTGAGAAATGACCTAACTATTTGAAAGCTAAATTTCAATAGTTTGTACCAATATTGTTGACAAAGTGTCCCTCATCAAGTTGATGTCATCCATAAGATATGGTGCAGTATTTTGAAATATCTGTTAATAAAAAATAACATAGTAAACTTAGTCAAAAATGTGAAATGAATTGAAGAACGTCATGCAACGTAACTCATCTTTATCTCGTCTAATTTCTCAGCCGTTCCTGTCTCAATTATGTCATTCATGTAACGGATGACATAATATTCACACTCAACATGTCCTTGTTGACAACGGTACTAAAAAAATAAGATATAAAATTGAATATTAGACATTATTGATTGTAAACATTAACTTTAATTCATCCAAAAATGTTTAAAAGTTAGTTCAAAATAACATATACCTTTGGAAGAATCCATGTTGGTGCTTGTCTATTTTGTTTAATCGCCACAACATTAAAAGTATGAAAAGCCCTATCAATAGTATAAGAGAAAATGATATTAGAGCATGCTTTTATAAACTTCACAAGTAATAAATATATAAATAAAAACTAATATGTCGATGACATCTTTGGTTTCTTCGGATGGACTTCCACAGAGTGAATCGAACCAGTAAACTTTGTTGTCAAAAGGGGCACAAACAATTAGAGTCCAATGATAACTGCAAAAGGCAAACCATGTTAATTATAACCCGACACATACAACTTGTATATCTCAAATACAATAATACACTTACCCTTCCATGTAAGGTGCAAAATATATTGGCTTTCTGGTCTGAGTCATTTTGGTCATAATGTAGATTGACCTTGCTTCCACAGTATTAAATTCTTTCTGCACCCTTTGAGGACACATAAAGCCATATGTTCCTTCAAGTCCTCCGTTTCGACAGATTTGATTAAAGTGCCTGTTTTTCAAGTAAAAAACATTAGGACATGCATGAAGTATAATATGTATTAAGAAAATGATATTGTAACTTACAAAATAGCGAGCTGCATGAAGACTATATCAAGCTCCTCAAAGTTGAGGAACTGAACAAGGTCCCTCTTGTTAATGGTGAAGTCGTATGTTATATCTGAACCCACAATTCCCAACGGCATCTTGAAAGTCATAGGCTTATCCATGTTTGGCACCATGGAATGAAGAACCTCCAAACTGGAATACATAAGCGCAACATCACCAGGAAGAGGCAAGAGTACAGGATCTGATGATGCGCTCGTTGTGGCCTTCTTCGCTGCCTCCTTCTTCACCATTGGCTTTGCAATAAGTCTCTTTGGCCACAAAATGAAATGTCCTTTAGCTTGGGCCAAGAGTCGAACCTCATCAGTAGGATTGGGCACTGGTGTACCCCCTGACCAAACAATTCTCTCCACTGTCACCCTTGCTTGATTGCTCAGAATTTTGTTGCCGTGAATCGTTGTGCCCATGAATGCTCGACCACTAGCAACATGAACAGGTGAATTTTCATAATCCACATAGAGAGAACACGGCATCCCATTGTCTTCGACAGGGTCAGGGTCAGACACTGTCATTGCTGTGTCTGATTATTACTGCCCTTTCCGCTTTTTATCACAGGTGAACCCTGAAACATAATATGAAATTAGTTAAGGAACATTAAATA